TGTCTTTGTGTAAAGGCCCAGATACACCGGCCCGAAATCGGCAGTAAATGGGAGTCGGGCCGAACATGAGCGTGGGCACGCCCTATTCGGAGTGGTGTGCGCCGCGCCGTCGGGTCTTTTCTGCCGACCTGACGCCTTTTCTTGCCGATTCAAAATGTTCAATCAAACTCAAGGCCCGGGGGCCAAAACAGGCCCTTGGTGGATTTCATTTCGGCCCGCAGGATAATTTTGAATTATTATTAGATCTGGCCCGTCGGTATATTGCACGCACACCTTCACTCAATCCTGAGGGTTTCCTCAGCTCAGAGCCTGAGCCCAAACGTTGATGAACTTGCACCCAAGATGAGATGCCAAGTATCTGGCTTGAACTAGCATGACCGAGCAGCACACTGAGTTTCAATGGATGTTTCCTTCTGCACTTTTATTCTCACGACAACAGGGCATGTTTGTTTTTTTCTTTGAGGTAAATAGTTTTTTTGAAGCTGTTGTTGGCCTGTGGAAAAAATGTTATCATAAGAAATGATAGAGCCATAAGAAATGAATGCAACTCATTATTTAATGTTGTTTTTATAGGCAATCATTTAAGCTTTGTTAGTTCCAGGTTTAATATGTGCAATAAGTTCATTTCAATACGTTTTGCAATAAACATGGAACCAGTCCGGCCCTCGACTAGTACCCATTTCTTTATTTTGGCCCACTGTGTATTTGAGTTTGACACCCCTACTTTATTGGCTAAACCCTAACTCCACAGGCGTTTCAAAAAGATACAGTCAAGATTGTATTTCCTTTACACACCAAACTAAAATAGTTATGAAAAAGATATGATGTGAAGTTGTATCAAAAAAGTTGAATTTTATATAAGGGGGCACCCTTATCAAAAAGAAATCTTGTTTGGAACTGCAGATCATTTCACAATAAAATCTTCTTCATTAGTTTTCTTCTTCTCTTTTTCCTGGAAAATCTTCCCATCCTGGACTCTCCACTGAAGGTCGAGCCCCTGGAACTTCTGTTTGAGCTATTTAAGCAAGAGAAGATAAATACACTCCTTTATAAAAAAAATAAGCTCTTCATGATGTTGTTATGACATTGTAAAGATAAAAACGTACTTCCTGCAAAATGGCATTGGACACAGCTTCGTCATTGAGGTCTAAGGACGGATCTGACTTTATTTCCACCCTCACAATCTTCACATGTTTTATTTTTACGTCTAAACAAACAGAAAAAAATACATCGGTAAATGTGCTTCACCACATTCCACCACTGACTTTAAGTTTGCTTTCAATCAATTGGGCATTTAGATATAGGCAATGTTTTTGATATTATATAAGTAATGCTCACCATCATAGCAGTAGAAGGGAAATGTGTGAGTACAGCTTCTGTCCCACCAACCCTTGGAAGAGGTCCCAAACAATGTGCAGTCGCCATCAATATTTGGCTGACCTGGCTCCCAGTGTCTGAAGGAACTGTTACTCTGATCCGACCATTGCCACTCATCTCTGAACAGACCGAACCACACCGAGGACAGTGATGAGCTACTCATTATTTGCTGTAATTCATCGTTTTCAGTCTCGCTCCTTGCACTGGCCAAGTCAAAATAATTCAGTCGACAGTATGTTTGGGCGTCCCTCCAATTCTTCTCTTCAAGAACGACATGCATCCTACCTGACGTCTCCCCTGTGAATATTGCAAAAATGCAATGTAAGATCAAAAGGTTCCAAGAGAATAGGAAAAACACACATGCTTCATTTTGGTTTTCAAGTTTTTGCATGCACTTACATGTAAACACATACTTGAGTCATTAGTCTTGCCCTTTCATAAAGACAGTGTGTCCAATTATCTAGATAAAAGCAGCTGAGCTGAGGCTTACGTTTTTGATAAGTCTCCATCAAAATATGCTGCATTTCCTAACTTGGGCTTACTATGCATCATTTATCTCGTAATACAGTAATGTGACCAACTGTACTTTCAAACAATCACCTCCAGGGACAACAATGATCCTGTTACAGATTTTAAAAACTTCTGCAAGCGACACAAAAGTGAGATTTATGTTTTCTCAAAACTGTATTTTTCATCCAAACAACCTTTGGGCAGAGCAAGGCTAAATAAATTCATGTTTCCAGTCTTAATGCTAAGCAAATTACCAAATTCTCATCAAGAAAAACATCTCTGTTACCTACCTCCATGACACACAAAGGGAAGAATGGTATTACAGAGTCCACCGAACCATTTCCCATCACCCCCCAAGCCTCCGCAGTGGTGAGAGGAAGCAGGTGAAGAGACCCAGTTACTGTATCCGGCTGATCTGGTTTTTTCTCCAACTGACCACGACCACGTCCCCATCCCGGACTTTTTCAGACCAATCCAGACTTGTGATGGCACATTGATGACGTTTGTTGGTTTGATCAATGTCTCCATGTCCTCATGACTGCGAATGGTAACAAGGTCAGTGAAGTACTCTCTGCAGTACGTCTGGGCATCCTCCCATCCCTTTACATCTTTCATCAAGTGATACTGTCGTACAACTTCTGAACACAAAGTGAATGAACCTGCAAAAGGACACCAAAGGACACAAGAAATAAAGCCATCGTCATTATTACAGCACTGTGTTTTTAATCTCAGCATTAACACTTACTTGAAGCAAAGAGCAAAATCACCAATTGCAGCATTTCTTTCTCCCTAGGATACAAAAGAATAAAAAGGTAAAGAAAAAATTAATATCTCCAATGTTTTTTGAACAATTATTTTCTAGATCTTGTCCCTATATTTCATTTGAAAACAGTGAGTAAATACTCAGCTCAGACCAAGCTTTTTTAGAGAACCATGTTCAAAATAAATACTATATAAAATAAATATGGATATTGAAATCCATGCTATCCATAGAAGTAGGAAAAAGGAACTGATTGTTGTAAGGCTTTGAAAATCTGCAACTCAGTTTTAAATCATCAACTCTTTTTAGTTGCCACAAAACAATCACATTTGAAGATATTTAGTCCAAAATGATATCAGATTACATGAATGTTTCCTAATATCAGAATAGATCTTCTCACCTGGTGCACAGATATTTCCATGTGAGAGATAAAGGCACTCCTGCAGGTTGTCACTTAAACTCCCTCTTGCTCTCCAAGAATTTGTTTTAGTCACCCAATTTCCTTTATATTTGTATTTATGGAAATGCTGCTTGAGTTTCACCACTGCATGGACTTATTTGTATTTCACAAACATACCTGTAAGAAGCAAGTGTAGTAAACAGCTTATGTGTTTTACTTTCTCCGTCTATAGTTCCTTTTTTGGTAGCACTTTACAATAAGACTACCCTTATAAAGGGTTTACGAATAGTTTGTAATTTACTTTAAAAGAGGCCCTATTATGCTATTTGGGTTTTCCCTTTCCTGTAGTGTGTTATATGGTCTGCAAATGCTGGAATCCCAAATTCCTGCTCCCCCCCACCTGCCTGAAACGACTTAATTGGATTCCTTTGTTTACTTCTGTAACATAGTGGCATAACTACGTAACACTTGGGCTTCTATTGGCTGTCACTCCAAGACATTGTACGTTATCTTCTAAGGGGCGGGACATCTCTAAGCGGTTGACCAATCACAACAGAGCCGGCCAGCTAACCAATCAGAGCAGACTGTGATATGGTTTCAGACAGAGGATGAAAAGAGGTGCTGCAGCCCATTAAAGCATGGAAACATGTCACAGTAGAGGCACAAAATACTAATATGAACCTTAAAAGGAGCATAATATGGCCCCTTTAAAAAAAAGTAGCAATACTAAAGAGTACAGATATTGCATTCAAGAACGCAGTCAAGTAAACCTACAACACTTGAGTACATAAAGTACTCATTATGTAGTATGACCCATTTTAGAATCTCATGTATATTACATTGTTGTATTATGTAATTATGTATTCCACACTTTAATGTTCTGTCTCTTTTAATGTCCTGCCACCTGTCTCTGTGGCTTGTTTCAGCTGTGAGGTCAGCAACAAACCCCTCGCTCATTATCCGGCCATAGACTTTATTTTATGCTCCCAAAAGCTGCCAATAATCCGCACACAGTCCCCTGGCCTTCTTTTCTAAGTCCTGCCTCACACACAGACACGTTTTATGCCAAGTCACCTCTCCATCATCACCCCAGAGAGCCCCTTATATAATGCTGTGTCTCCCCTCTAGTTTTACTGCCTGTATTTTTGCCACCCGGGAAACATCCCTCTATTTTGCTGTTCAGGTATGTGCTTTGAGTTTCTTCTTCTTTGATATTTGAAAAATATGTCACCATCTAGAGGCAGGGGATATTTTTCAGTAAGTCAAAAAGTGTTAGAAAAAGTCTTCAATATTTAAAATTATATTAATCTGGCAAAATCTTGAATTAGTACAAATGTACTAAGTTTTTGTACAATTTCCTGTAAACGTGCACACCATTGGATTTCATAATGTTATATTGCTTAAGAACAGCGATTTTCGTTTGAAATGTAAATAGTTGTTAGATGAATTTCAACGATGTGAAATGAATTGGTCGAGTATTACATTACGTTACATGTTACTTGTTAGACGCTTTTATCCAAAGCGTCTTACATACTCAATACTGTGGACAATCCCCACAGGAGCAATTTGACGTGAAGTGTCTTGCCCAGGGACACAACGACATGCTGACTGCAGTGAGACTCAAACTTGCTACCCCGATTTGAAGTCCAGCACACTATCCACTGAGCCACAGCCTCCCCATATGTTTCTTTAAAAATATTATAAATATATTTTTTAATAAAAATGTATCAATCAACTCTGTAATGCTAGGAGTGTTGCGCATAGTGATAAACCCTTGATAACATTTAACTTAAGATACAGTTCTTCTTAACACTACAGTGCTATTCTTCTTCTTTCAGCTCTTTGTTTCGATTTTTTTGGTTTGCACATTTAAAAAAAATATAAAAAACCTGCCCGGCTAATGGAGAGACAGACGAAGTTGGCAACAGTTTTTAGCTGCTGAACAAAGTGGTGCAATAAGCAGCTTAAAAGCCAGATATTCTCCACAAGTAGAGGCCAACATCAGGGTGAAAGGAAGAAATAATATTGGATTAACATACACCAGGTGCCCGGAAAAAGCTAATTCAAATGAGTGTTATTGTTGCGTGGTTTTATGTAGATGTAAATGGCAGCTCTTTGCTTTAGTTTTCAATTATAACTTAAAATGTACTGTTTTATTAGTAGTTACAGCTCTTTCCTGCCGTGTAAAAAAACCCTGAAATTGCACTTATTACATTTAATCCATAGCAAATAAATAATTGATTGAATCAAGATGCTTTAAAATGTTTCAAACCGATTGATAATGGCTGATGACTTAGTCTAACTGTCCTTCTCATATTAGTTTTATTGTATATTGTCACATTGTTTGGATTTCCAATGAATACAAATAAAATCCAGGATGTGATTAAGCTGTATGATGTCTCTAAAATTAGGAATGATCCCTTATATAATTGTTAGTGCCCTTGGCTTGGCCTCTCTATCCGTCCGGTCGGTCAGTTTGGACAGAAACATCCAACAGTCAAGCGATGTGAGGAATTCCTCTCCCAATCCCTCATCTGCCTTTGTCCATCTGCCCGTGTTTATTCAGATTCACATGCTCATGCTCTGAGATCTTGACTAAAAAAACTAACCATGAAGGGATCTGTGAGACTTGGGCAGCCTTAGAACTTGATCTACCATGTTAATTCACTCAAAGACTGACAGCGAGTCTGGTGTGTTGTGAATATTGTGCCATTGCTGGTGTGTTTACCTAGACACCCATTTTTCTGTTTTGGTTTGACTCATCCAACTGAAATACACAGATAGGCTGCTAAAATAATGGCTAGGAATATTAAAATACTCATGGGGCTAAACACACATATAAATATCCCATCAGTTCAGTCAGACTGCGACTAGTTCCAATGATAATAGAGGATTGGCTGGTGTTAATAGCAGCCAGCCGACCAGCTTAATCTCTCCATCCCACATTCTATCTTGTAAATCAAATTAAACAAAAAGGATTGGCCAGCTGATACCAAACTCTTATCCTGGGTAACAGGACACTGCTCCGGACTACAGTCACTCTGACCTCTTCTATTCCTAGACCATTAGCTACAAATGGCCGTCCCCTTTATCTTATGCTTAGAACAAAAGCACCAACCTGTGTTGAAAGTGTAATGCATCTCCACTGGCCTTCAGGACACATGAGCTTTGATAAGCACAGCCATCAAAAGTGGCAAGCAAACATATAGATTATCTGCTTTTTATATATCTTTTTTATGTGTGCTTAGTCAAAGGTTCAATTTGAATACCACATATGTTTAGAGTGTAACTTTTGCCACAGAGAGAGTGGCCACATGTTACTAAACAATAGCACAATTAATGTTGAGAAACAGTAGCACAAAAACAAAAGAGACATTTAGTTCAGCAAACGGATCCAGAAAATCACAGTTACACAGCAATATCTACAGCATCTAAAGCTAGCTAACGTTAGCCACGATAAGCTACTTGTCACAACAGAACAAATAAAGCTTTAGCAGCAAAACACTTTTGTAGTTTATGAATTGAGCTTACCATTTTTAAGTAAAGGATTGTGTTTTACTTTAAAACATCACAGTCCAGCTCTAAAGTTTGTTAAAAGTTCCCTAACTCCAGTCAACACATCGCAACTTTAGCTAATGTGTGTGTTAGCAGCTAAATTGAATATGGGACAGAGCCATTGCTGGTGAATGAGGAGCCAAGTTGATGACCATTTGATACATATTCTACTACAACATGTATGCAACTTTTACCTTTAAGCAGAAATAACCTTTGAAAATCCTGGGGGAAAAAAATACATTTTGCTAATGCTTAAACAGTTATTACTTATATTATTTTATCTCCAGTGCCACCATGTCAGACTTTGAATACCATGGGTGAGTAAATCCAGTCCTAACTTGTTATTTGCAATATTTTCCAAGTTTTTTACAATCATTATATGTTGGCATCTGTTTTACAATGTATTCTTTCAATTATTGTATATTTAGAGGCCCTCAGGAAGGTAAGGAAACTCACAAATTCATTTATTGGAAAGCAGTTTCATTTTGTCTCTCGACTCAAACGCTGTGTCACTCTTCCTTTCTCCAGAAGAGGATGAGGAGCAGGGAGAAGGAGAAGGAGGTGAGACTGTGATATTGGACTGTGTTGACTTAATGTCTGAATTCAACTCAAACATAACTTATTCACATAAAGGCTGTGAAAAAACAGGGGAACTTTCTAAATGTAAATATATATTTACATATTGTATCCCGCCATGCTGGGTTTACATACTGTCCATGAACTTTGAATTTATATTCAAATTGAACAGGAAACGTTAACATACAATCCTTTGTGTATCTTTTTGGCAGCACACAAGTCATAAACCCTGTAAAAGTAATAAGTAATACAACTTAATTCCTATCTGCTTTATTCCACTTTGGCTTTGAGTTAAAGTTGGATTCAATTCCTCTGCTGTATTTTGACATATAACTGCTTTTTATTAATAAAAACATTCAATTATTCTCTTTTTGTTGCCTTTTCTGGCTGCCATCTTGAAGAACGGCCAAAATACAAGTAAGATGGAATACTTAAAAAAAGTAAATGCATGGCAGAGAAGTGAAAATAATCTGATAGTACATGATGTTATGCCTTCGTGTTATTTACAGACCGGTCACACAGCTCGCTGCCCCTAAAATCCCTGAGGGGGAGAGGGTTGACTTTGATGTATGTTCCTTCAAGGTTGTTGCTAATGGAACATTTACACGATTAAGGCATCAAATACCAGCTCTTAAATAAAATCTTGATGTGTGACGTTTCTGCTGGTCCTTTTTAGGATATCCATCGGAAAAGGATGGAGAAAGATCTCCTGGAGCTGCAGACTCTGATTGATGTGCACTTTGAGCAGAGGAAGAAAGAAGAGCAGGAGCTGATTGGACTCAAACGGAGGATTGTAATGCCTTTCCTATACTGTTTTCACAACTGTTGTTCCATTAGTTATATATGTATTTGTCTGACAGATAGTTACGCTGATTATTCAGAATAAGTGATTTAAGAGTCATGTGTAAAAGCTGTTTTTTGCTGTTGTAGGAAAGACGTCGTGCAGAAAGGGCTGAGCAGCAGCGTGTCAGGGCTGAAAAAGAGCGCGACAGACAGACGCGGATTGCGGTAATTAATGCCTTTTACATATGTTGTCTAATCCCTTCATGACAATTATCCGCTTCGATCGCCATATTTTGACCTAATACATTATGAAACAGCAATTGAAACAGCCATAATAAGCTGAAGATTAATCTTTTCAGGTGGAGAGACAGAGGAAAGAAGACGAAGAGGCGAGGAAGAGGGCAGAGGATGAGGCCAAGAAGAAGAAAGTGCTCTCCAACATGGGGGCTCACTTTGGAGGGTTCCTGGCCAAGGTAAGAATAATAAATGTCTTAGGCAGATGTGCTACTGTAAACTCTTTAATCCTACAAGAAAGTGAGTTGTTGTTACTTCCTGCAGGTAGAGCAGAGGCGTGGCAAAAGGCAAACTGCGAGGGAAATCAAGAGGAAGACTCTGGCAGAGAGACGCAAGCCCCTGGCTATTGAGTCCATGAGAGAGGACGGCCTGAGGTCAGTTTAAGGTCCATTATGGTCCATTCCAATCATTTTTTACTTTTATATATGCACCACGACACCAAGTCAAATTCCTCGTACGTGTACACCTACCTGGTAATCAACCTGTTTCTTATTCTGATTACATTTTAATCCAGCTCAATTTAACTCAAGAAGGCCAGTTTACTAAGTCTGGCACATAATATTTAAAGCTGTTGAAAAAGGAAAAAGTGACCTTTTATTAAGACATAAGAAGGTATTTCAGTATTCTCATGTTTCTCATGTGCTGTGTTTAAGAGAGAGAGCCAGGGAGATGTGGGAATGTATCTACCAGCTGGAGTCAGAGAAGTTTGACCTGACAGAGAAGACGAAGAGGCAGAAGTATGAGGTGAGCCCTTGAGTTGAGAATATACAAAACTGGTATTCTAAAAATGTCATTTGTGATCTGTGTTCTTTTTTCTTTTAGGTCAGAGTCCTCCTGAACAGAATCCAGCAGGCTCAGAAATTGTGAGTCCTTACTTGAAACAACATTAATTTCCCTGAAAGTAAAAGCATTCTGAAGAACTACTTTGCATCAACTATGCAAACATACCACAGATGGTTGGCAGCGGTTGAATAAACACAAGAAACACTAAACTCACAGCTCTTAAACATGCGCCACTTTATGCACAGAATTCACATCTTAGATATTAACATAAATGTATTCTCTATCAGTCAGTGGCTTGTAATTGCTTTGAGGACTACGACTTTTTTTAACACACTTGTTCTTGTCTTCACGCAGCAAAAAGGTGCACGGTAAGGGGAAGGTCGGAGGACGCTGGAAGTGAACACGCACAGAGGCAAAAAGAAGACTAGTTAAAGGACAAGATTTCCAGTGTGGGATTTATTGAAATATATATCCACTCACATTTGCAACACATTTTGTATCTGTAAAATACAAACAGTAAAATTGACATTTTCTAGCAGTGTCATTGAAATCTAAAATGAAACAATCACAGTTGCTTATTTTTAGCTGTACACATAAATCAGTTCTGTATGTGATCTTGTAAAGTGACTGTGATGATGTGAAGCAATATAAACTTTGCTAATGCATATTGTGATAAAACTGCTGAAAATGGGAGCAAATAAACAAAACACATTTAGTTCCTCTTTGGTATGAAAACAGCATGGACGTCATCACTCTTCCCCTCACGCCACGGCTCAAATTCAGCATCCAGAGCCATGCTAACCACTTTCTCTGCAAAGCCCGCTTCTTGCTCTTTGTTTACATCCAAAATATACCTGCAATACACACAAATGCAACAGTGTCATAACAACTCTGTACCAGTCAACTTGTAGATGCAGCTGTAGCAAATAAGACACATGCAAACAAGAACATGCACTTTTGATTAACATGGCTGTGCTCTTGGTGACTGAAGTGTCGCCATGGTTACAAGCCCTGTTACTATAAAAACCCTCACTTGGCCAACTCCACGACGAGCACAGCGTCTGGTGCTGCAATCTGTCTCACCGTCGGGCCCAATTTGTGCACGCAGCTTTAGAGCATTGACAGTGGGGGAAACAAAAACACAGAAATTAAAAACATGGTCAGCAGATCGTATTGTAGGTTACATTTTGTATTAAACGGTTTACTAAGTGTATTTATACGTGTACACATTTGAGATAAAAAGGTCTCACCTGAAAGAGAAGTAGATGGAGTCAAAGAAGTGGGAGAATTTCTGTTTTTCTGGCAGTTTGTCAAGTGAGTCCAAAGGCAGGAAGGTCACAGAGATCCCACTCAGAGGCATCAAATCTGGAGAGGATTGAGAAAAAGCTAAGCGTGTATTTCAAAGTAACTGTTCATCTGGGTACTAAATATCTAAACAGGCTTCAGAAGGCTGGGAAGTGATCTACCACTGACTGGAAACCTTAGACTCAGTAGACCCATCTACATTTCTTAAATATATAACATGTGCACCCTGAACCAAAAATGCTGCAACTTAGTCATACTAAATTGTTTGCATCAGTCTAAGCTATTTAATTGTGAGTTAAACAGGTTTGTCATTGCGGTCACTGACACCCATCTAAAGCCACAGGGCTGCTAGAGCTAACAGCCATTTACCGTTGATGGTGACAGATTTTGGCTCAGACTCTGGTGGCGGCTGATCTGCGTCAGACTGAGAAGAAGTGGGGGGGCAGCCCCGTCTGCTGGACACGGAGTGGAACAAGTCCTGCACATTTGCAAAGGAGATATCCTGGGCTGTCTGTGGATGTGAGGAAAGGAAGGGACAGACATTCATATGGTCGTCGGTAGATGCACAACGTAATGCAACTGTATGATAAGAGGAAGCAGAGACAATAGCTATAATGTATTTTACCTTGATGTGTTGCCCATTCTGTGTTTTCAGCATGCTCTTGTCATCAGTCTCAATGCCAAAGGAGAGGTAAGGACTTGAAACAATGTCTCCCCAGTAGCCCCTGACAGCCACTTTGTTTCCTTTCTGTCCACACACACACACACACACACACACAAAGTTCCTTCATGTCATCTTATTGCTGTGTTGTGTAGACAATATTGCGCAGAAAAACCGACAGTTACCTGACTGAACACTCTGGAAGAGAGCAAACTTGGATTGGTTATTTGGTAGACACCTTCCCTCATTTCAAATGCCAAACCTCGCTCCCTCCATCGTGCATATTGTTGTTTGTTGATGACACCGCACTGCAGATACAGAAAGATTCTCTCTTCTAAATGTTGCCTGAAATAACTCAACAAACAAATGAAAAGTACACAACAACTCAAATACCCCTCTCTCGTGCAGTTTCATTTTCAGGTCCCAGTCGAAGCAGCCTTTCTTAGAGTCGTAGCGGGTTCCAAGGTGCTGCCTGACCCGATAATCCCAGGCTTTGGACATTAGGATAGGGGCAGCACTCTGAGATGAAGATGATGAAGACTTAGGTTGGATCCACAACTTAAATATCCTGGCCAGCTCATCTCGCTCCTTGAACTGTGGGAATATCAAACAGTATATATAAGTCTAGTCTCTGAGCAGACATCAATGTCTGATGAAGAATCAAAGAGGATTGTACCTTGAGGAGAGTTGTGTTTAGACAGGGGTGTGTGGCTGTTTCCAGTGTTTCAGTAACAGACAGAGAAAGCTGCGATGCTGTGTGTCTCAGCGTCTCTTCTGTCTGACTGCGGATCTCACCGTTCCCAAACACCTCCAGGAAAACCTCTGTCTTTTCTAAAACAAAGATGTCAATACTATTCAAATGTGTTTTTTTTATTTGTACTTATTTATAACCTTTTTACCTTTCAAAATCCCACAAACCATTATTTCCCATGCTTTCCTTTGGCATCAGTGCCAGGTAGAGGAGCAGCAGCTGTCTAGCCACCACCTCCATGCTGCTCTCTATCACCCACAACTGCAGTAAAGACGAGAAAGTAAGTTGGCAGCTCACAGTTGAGTATATATCTTTGTTCTCAGGGATTCAAAGACAGTTTAAGTGACTGAGAGTCTCACATGAAGTCTCTCTTCCTCTTGCAATCCAGAAATGGTCTTCAAAATATGTCGTGGATCTCCACTGCCGACCAGTAAAACATTTACATCCCCACCGCGTTTCACAGGGCCTGGCACAGAAGGACAAAGCTTATTACAGTAGTTAAAATACAGCACACTTCTAGGGCCGGGTAATAACCTCAATGCTTAATTAATACATATTTAAGATTCAAGATTCAAAGGTTTTATTGTCACATGCACATAAGCTACAGTGTAAATGGCAATGAAATTATTCTGACCTGAGCTAATGTGTTTCTGTAGCACTGAGTATTAAAAGTTGGCATCTAGCCTTGTTAAATAATTTTTTATACAGATCATGAATTAGATAACTACATTATATATTTTGTGTAAATACAAAAAAAAATCATACATTTGTAAATGTTAGACTGTATCATTTAGGCAGTAGGCCTACACATTCTGGTTTGGTTTATTAATGATGAATTGTTTATCAACAACATTTGATCTCTTTAAAAAAAGTATAAAATCCTTTTTATTGTCTTATTATTTAATGGACTTATGGTTTTATAGTAAGGCATTGAAAAATGAAATAAAATATATTTTTAGATTGTGATATCAATGTTATAACAGGTAACTGAAATAAAGTATGTCGACCTAATTACTGTTGATCTGATGCACCTGTGTAGAGGTCCCCCGCGGGCTCGAGGCACTCACCTGTTTTCAGCAGGTCTCGCGCAGGACTGAAGCCCCACCAGGTGATGCAGCCCGCTCCTTCTGAAGCACGTCCGGCACTCATCCTGTAATGTGACCGAAAAAATAAGACACACAACAAGCCCGGACACCAGACTGTAAACTGTTCAAGGCTAGAGCTGTAAGGTAATGTTTACGATAATGTAGACACTTTCCATTGAGGTAGCTTAGTTTAGCTTCGTTTAGCATGCACTTTAACCCAAGCAAACATTAGCATAGCCTACTTGGTCAAACCATGGATGGGTCAAACAGAACATACACTGTTAGCTTATCAGTGAAGCTGTTCAAGGGGCACAACCCCGTCTCTTAGGTCAATACTTTCATAAATGGAGTAGCAATTCTACCCAAATAATGTCAAGTGAAGAAAAGTAAAGATAAAACGTACCTCTCAGTCTGACAAAAGAGTAAAGTTTGTAGCTAACCGTCTCAGCAGAAAGTTTGGCTTCTGTTGCTGGGCAACTGTTTCTAGATGGGTAGAACAGGCGCCATCTACCGGTGGAAATATTATTGAATAATTATGTTATCAATAATCCTCTATTATCTTACTCGGTTCTCTAGGATATTGGATTGTTGGCTGGGTCATTTAGAATATTTAGCAAGTCAAATCAATGTGTAGAAAGAGTTTTATGTCCAAAATACTTCCCTGTCAGTCAGTGTAACAAGTAGTATAAGGAGATAACAAAAACAAATACAAAACGCTGCAGGAACTGCGACCTTATACATTTTCCAAAACTCAACTCAACGTTTCTTTATCAGCTTTTCAAGAGCTTCAAACCAACTCCAAACAAACAATTGATCAATTGTGATATCTAAACTTGAAGTATAAACGTATTGTACGTTGTGATAACTAAGGCTACATTATGCACGAAGAAACTGCACATCAACTAATTCTTAATTTAATCAAAGATGAGAGAAGCATTGATGTGAAACTGTCCATTGTGAGTTTATTTTTGAAAAGATCCAAAGCATTACAACAAGTTTTATTTGGGACCTGCACCACATCACTACAAAAATAGCACAAAGGCTCAGTGTACATGTCGTGAGAAATAGAAGCTCCACCATGTAAACAGAGTAACTTTTCAGAACACAGAGTTACTCTGATATCCTTCTTTTATGCATCCAAATGTTACTATGCCAATACATGAGCATACAATTGTTTCCAAATATACTACAAGTCATATTGGTTTACAGTAAAAGGTAAATGGAGGGATGCCAAGTTACAACCAAATATCAAAAATTGTCTGTACACCACACAGACACATACACACACATACATACACACACACATTTAAGTATCTTAAATGAAACGAAATCAATACAGGAACATCTACATTGGGAAAGCATCAGGATTAACAATAAGTAACATATCGGCAGGTTAGTCACACTAAAACAAGGTGCGATTTTAACGAGGTTTAGCTTTGACTGCCGCATCGACCTCTTCTTCTGGCAGGAGAGTGTGCCACTGGGCCACCGGACGTCTGGGATTTGAGAGCATATCTGACCAGTGGCGCAGACCGACTCCTGTAGCTCCATAACCCATGAAGGTCTTTCCAATGGGGTCATTGCTCCCAAGTTTATCATAGTCCAACACTGTGATGACCACTTGCACTTTCTGAAAGACAGAAAGATAGAAATCATTCCCAATATCAACACTGTAAACTTATTACAGTAACATTTAAAAATAAATATTGATATGAAAACACAGCGTACCTGTATCTGCTCGAATGGGACTTCAAAGCTGAAACTCTCATTGAAGTAAGGGTTTAGTGTGTTCTTCTTGACTGTCGTCTTTTTCTTCTTAATCCGTTTCCCATTTTGCTGCAGAACAAGCTTTACAAAGGGATCTTAAGGAAGAGAAAGAGAGGATGATATCCTTTTGTTTTGTTGGACTATTTCAATTACCCCATGAGAACGATTTTTTCAAAGAATAAAGCAATTAGATGAAGGAGACCTATTTACCTGATAAACCACCAACATCCATTTTCTTCAGATTCTTTGCCTCCATGATGTTCACGGTCAGTTTTCCAGCAGTGGGTACATAACGTAAAGAAATGCAAATATCGCCCAGTTGCTCTTGCTGAAAAGAAAACATTATGGATTAACACCATGTTTAATCAAATTGATGAGAACATCATTTATAAAACAAATTCTGATCATCATAGATGATTAGTTTTCTTAAAGGAAGAGCCAGGGTGTAATAACACAATAACACAATCAAGCTTACCTCTTCCTTCTCACCACTCTCTACATCTCTCCATTGTTGCATCGGCTGGCCCAAATCAACGCTGTTCATGGGAATCTTTATCTCACCGATCATGTCATGCTTTGAGAAACGGTCAAAGTCGAAAACTTGCAGAATCAAAGTCTTTCCGCCCAACTCTGCATATGGGATCTACAAAGAGAGTTTAATACAGCATTAGGATGTATATTACGTAAAGGGGTAAAGTATACTGTTCTGCTAACATATGACAGCATGTGCATATCCACACAATGGAGACATTTAAAAACATGCTACTTTGATATGTTTTGTAGGCAGGGATACCTTGACAGACGCCATTCAGGGAATGAGGGGAAGTAGAGACACAGGCCAAACTTCTGCCTCACAAGGGGTAAACAATGACATGTCATCAATAACCTGGATCACAAACAAAAGCTGAGACATAAAGACAAAGAAAAAACAAGCAGACAAACATCAAGTCAACAAAGACACAACGTCAGGCATGTGGTACCTTGAAGGTGAAAGTCTCGTTGAACACTGGGCATAAGTTCTTGCGCTGAACTTTGGTCTCGTACTTCTTCTTTTTGTCTGGCAGCAAAAACACTTTGACGTAGGGGTCTGAGGTTCCCCCCATATCCATAGCAGCAAGGTCCTGAGCCTGAAGGATGCCCACTATGAGCTACAGAGGAAAGACAGAAAGGGTCAGAATAAAAAAAAGATACACATTCCTTATTGATAATTATTTGTTGAATCTGTATATAAATCATTTCATACTTGAAACTGAAAGCTTTGTTTTCACACAGGACCTACCTGAGCATCTGTGAAGTTGTAGTCCAGTGAGAACTCCAGTCTGCCCAACTTCTCCTGTTCCTTCTCGTCTTCCTCTCCTTCCTTCTTTACATCTCCCTCCTCCCGGAAAAAAAACACCAGTGCTTTGGATATTCACCATGAAGATTGGTAAGATTAAACAATATTTCTGGAAATGGTTTACCTTCTCTCCATTCTCTCCTTCGCCCTCTTTTTCCTTCTTGCGGCGACCTGTTTTCCTCTCCCTCACTTTCTTTGGCTTTTTCTTTTTCCCGCAGCATTTCTTGAACATACAGAAGATGCAGCATGCCGCCAAAACCAGGACCACCACAACAATGGCTGCTATTGCCCACACGGGAACTGCAAAATAACAAGAAGGTGAAATCACTCATCAGCATTCACTTCATGCAAAAAGGGAGAATATTTATCATGGCAGAAAGTAAAGATATCTGTGACCTTCACAATTATAGCAACTACAGAAACCCCAACAAAACATATACAAAACATGTACATGAATCTGATCTGAAATCTTGACCTTTAAACTCCACCCCCTTTGTCCAAGGCTTTGAAATAACTCTCTAAAGAGGATTTCAATCGTTCAGATCTCGGGATTACATCAAAGAAAAATCCACTTTTCGATTCATCTTGCTCCTGTGGTCAAAATCTGTCCAACTATACTGTTAAATATAAACTTATTTTTCAAAGCTTTGAAACAGAACCAAGGGGGTAATGCCACATATTCTCAAAACAAAATATGACACTGATGAAATTCAATTTGCTGCTACTTTCTAAGGTGTTTCGGAGGGTTCTTATGAGCATTTCATGACCTCACATTTTTAAGCACTTGTTTATGCAGGGACGATTGCTGTGTGTTGTCAGCAACACCCTTCTCCACAATCAGATAATAACACACTCTAGGCTGGGAGTGGTACAACCACCGCCCCACGCAGTGCAGCTCATCATTAAGGGCCTAACTGAGAGCCCTTCAGTAGTAGTTGTTAAGTTAAGGGAAAAACAATTGACGTGCACTTCTTCCCCATACCGTTTCATAGGTATGATGAATGTTACAATTATTTGGGAAAAAGAAAACAAGCTCAAACCAACTTTACTGTTTGGGTTATTGAAGAATTTCAAAAACTACAATAATAATTTTACAATATCTTCAAAATATTGAAAAAATACACTAAACTGCTAATTTATATTACCATAAATCTGTCATGTTAGCCCTAATCATGGGTATTTTGCCTCTTCCAAATAATATCTCAAGATGTACAGTTTATTTCAACAGGTAAATTAAAGTATATTCATCATTGTTTTGTAAACTCTATAAGGGGCTTACTTGGCAGATGACCAAGTTCATTCATGAACTTCTCCTTCATGTGGTTGTATTCGTGGCCGTTGTGATGTTCTGTTTGCGAGTGCTCATGGTGTTCTGAATGGGAGTGCTCATGGTGTTCTGAATGGGAGTGCTCATGATGTACCGGCTCTGTAGCTTCTTCTGATTTTGGTTCTGGTTCTGGTTCGGACGGCTCCGCAGCCCTCCGGCCCCGGACCCCGACGCTTCCCAGCCTCATATCAGCTGTGAAAACATCAGAATCAGTGCTGTGATTGTTGGCTCCTACAGTCAGAGATAACACGACCTGGTGTGTGCGCTGTGTAATCCCTATGTCCATGCGTGGCAGTACAGTTCGAGAGCATAGGACATCTCTAAGCCAGATGCTCAACATGGCTGACCCTAATCCCACTGTTACTCTCATCCACTCTTTCATCTCCCCCGCCCCATAACCCACGCCTTCACTCCCACCCCGTTGGTCCCATCCCCATTTTTCTCTCGTCACTGTCTCTGCACGTAACTGGATTAAACTGTTGGTCTACAATATTAATCCAAAATCCCAGATTCCCTAAGCTAAAATAAATCGGAGTTGGTCTCCTCCCTCATTCTACTTCCCTTGGAGTTTTCTGGAATGACGACTGTTTATTAAGGCACATTTCTAAAGAAACAGTGAACTATTGGGAAATTGATGAGAAACCTCAATCTTTCTAGTTTGAATGAAAATGGAATTGTCCCATTACAATTTAAACTAAGAAATAACATAATTTTACGAAAATATGTACTTGTTTTTGCTGGATTCATAAAACCATACCAACAGCAATTTCTCCTTTCTATAGTTATAGGTGCTTTAAAAAAGAAATGTTGACTAAAATGTAAACATTATTGGGATCTGTTCACATTTATACTCAACTAATATAAACTGTGTGTTGGGGTGATTCATATGAAACTACAGGAACATCATTCACATCAAAAGAACCCATTAAAAAGTTTGCCAATCCCTAAAGTGGGTATGTTCAAAACCAAATGTGATGCTATCATTAAAAAACAAAAACAAATCTGAATAAAAAATGTTAGCTTTTTCCTCACAGGTATTATTTTTCAATGCAGAGCTCTTAATCCTTGACATGTTTAGACACTCATACTCTTGCATCTTACCTGTTGGTATGTCCCTTTAACTCCCTCTATGCCGCCACAGCTTTTGGAGCAACTTTTAGTTCGAAGTGTATTTCTTACTGCTTCCCGTTTGGCTCTTTGTATTCGTTACACACCCATCGTTCCTTCAGTATGCTGCGCAGTCTGTTTGGCAGTCTCCTTACAAACCCTTTCTACCAAAGCTAAAGCGCTGGCAAATCACTAGAGCTGCGTCGTGATTTAATCCCCCCCCCTCCTCCGGATACTAGAGCGCTGACAACACATCTGTTGCTGTATGTCTCTGAACGAAGGTGCATAGAGAGCAACAGCCACTTTTTCGTAAATTACTTAAATTGAAAACACCTTTAACCGTTTTAGGGCTTCTCCTTGAGAGCTGTGACTTTTCATTAGACTGAGGAAACATGGCAGTGGTGGTTATGTTTATCCATTAGATTGAAGAGATTGTAATACATTAGGCCTACACTAATCCCCTCAGCATAGCTGTCCTCACTGTCAATCGGCAATCTACCAACAACTCTCACTGAGAGTGGATATTCCACCCTCCCCATCCCCTGGTTTATCGCTTTACTGTACAACCACATACCCACATTTAGAGCACTGTGAACAGTAATCCCAGGCTCGCTGCCACATGTTTGCACTGCTACATCTGGAGATCTCAGTGGCTCCAATCCAACATGCAACAGCCTCCTCTAATAGATAACTAACTAAACTGCATAGGGAAAATGGAAAAAAGAGCACAATATAATATCTATCAGAAACGGGTTTATTACCAGGTAGGTTGGCACGTACGAGGAATTTGACTAGGTGTCGTGGTGCATACATAAAACAAACATTTAAAAAAACAGAGAGAACTATATTAAGAACACTATAATAACATTACAAAAAAATATGAAAAAATATATTAGACTAGGCTGTTGTACTTGGTTTGATTTTATTCCCTCTGTAGTGTGTAAGAGTGTTTTGTCAACACGCCGCCTTTCGAGTCAGCTAATTAACAGGACTTTTTCAATACGATGTCACTCCCTAAGATTTCAAGTAAATGTAAGAAGGAATAACTTGCATAATGATTGAAAGGACAATCATTGATCAAGTAAGGGGTGGGAATTAATAAGCATTTGCTTCCTCCTGCTCCCTTTCGGACAAATGATTTATTATTAAGAAGACTTTTTTTTTGTTGAATATATAAATATCATGAATGTGGATAAATACTGTATTTTAACAATACGATATTCTGTTTTTCACATTTTTTTTTTTTTTTTTTAAATCTGTTCGAAATAAAGAATAAAATGAAGTATACACAACAATAGTAGAGATCCTAATAGTGTTTTGTAAACACTGTTGCTCTCATTTAGTCACATTTTTTTCTTTGGTTCTGAACTAATTCAATAGAATAATAATCAAATATGTTTTTCAAAACTGTACAACACAACACATTCGTAGCATTTATCTTGGGTGTGTTTCAGAACTGCTGGTCTAGACCCCAACTGAAACATTAAAAGACCACACCTTGCTGTGAAGAACTGTTTCAAACCCTCCTGCAACTAAATCTTATCTTTGCTGAAACATGTAATTTACTAAGGAAGCAGCATGGTCATTTTTAACCACACGCTGGTAGCCTAATGTTACAAATGAAGCTCCTCCCAGCAGTGACTAAGCAAAGTCCCAACGTTATCTTTACAATGTTCTATAGGGAGTCACTGACATGACATCGGGAAGAGTGCAGACTGTGTTTAGACTGCATGTAGGATCAGATAGTCTATCTGAACACACAGTTGTTAAACGGGTTGTGAAAAAGACTGACAACAAAGATATAGCACAATCGGTCTTTATTCAATGATTTTTGAAATCTTCAACTCTTTGACTCCAATTATTTCAAAAAAGTATCAATTTAAAAAAACATTTGTGAAGAATAAACCTCTGACACTGGAATGCATGACATGAATTCAAATGAGTATTTTTTAATAACTGAAGAAAAATGTGGTTTTAACACTACATTATTGAGAACATTATTTTTCAAGTGTGGTTTTCATGACAAAATGAGGTATTTCTGTTTTTTAGCTTTAAGTCTCTTTTGTGCCATTGGTACAAGAATAAAGTTTGTGCTAATCTGAAAATATTGTATACTTTTCTTAACGGAGAAGAGAGAGACTTTTGCTCTCGACACTATGCATCATTTCAAAATGTTGCGCATACTTGACTGTAACGGTTTGACCTTTAAAGTGTGTGTTTATCAAAGAGGTATTCTCCCATTGGACCGTGTGTCTCAGACGCAGTGATGCGGGTCAGACTGCCAATGTAATCGCCCAGCTTCTTGATGGTGTCGTGGCTGTCTGGGAGGAAGTGCTGCTCGAGAAAGTCACACAGCTACAAAAGAAGAAAGACAGTAAAAAGTGAGTAAGATGTTAAACGCACTATACAAGGGGGTCAAAAGGTGATTTATAAAACAAGGAAACTTCATATTTAATAGAACTAACAACGGACTGATTTTACATAATATTCAACTTGTGCAAAAAAGTATTATCCAGAGTAGCTTTTTTGACATATTTACTATCTGTAAGCTTGACAATCACCTGAGAAGCAGTAGCATTAATATCCATCCAACAGTGCCACTTACGTGAGGGTCAGTATGGGTGCCAGCTCTGCGGTGCACATCAAGGATACAAGTGTTGAGAACCTTCTGGTAGTCCAGGGAAAAAGACATTGCATCCAGACCACCTCTCCAATCCTCTCTACTTGGTTTCTAAAATAGAAAGTTGATACTTGGATGAATATATTTACATATTTTAAAAATAAAGGCTTGAAAATGACACTACAAAAAAAAAAAAAAAAAACTGGACTTACAGCAATAGTCTGAAGCAAAATTTGGCCGCCTCTAATGTTCTGATATTCCAGCAGCTTCTCAGCCTGATCCCTCTCTTTCATGGAGCGCTCCAGGAAAAATGTGGAGAATTTAGGCAGGGCAACATCATCCCTGTCAAAATACATCCCCTACAAGAGATGAGATAAATAAAGCATTTAACGATTACAGTGCAGTCACAAACTTTCAAAGAGGGCTAGCTCTTTTGTTTATTTCTGTGCAAACAGGTCTTTCTGTGCACAGGCCCTGACACACCAAATAACACGTCTCCTGCGTCTTGGCCAAAAATATGGAGCTAATTTCCTGCCATAACTCCACAAACAAACTAAACAGGTTTTACAAATGCCTCATGATTCACTAACAAACAAAATGTGGTTTGCAAATACAAAACACCATCTACAAACTAATGCATTTAGTTTTGCAAAGAAAAAACGTATCTATCAAACAAACACATAACATATTACTGCCAAAAGTCACCTGACTTTTGGCAGTAATATTCCGCCGTGAGAAGAAAAAGTTTTGTAGTTGTAAAAACAAGTTTTGTACTTGTAAATAAATGTGTGTACTTGTAAAACCTATGCTGAATTTGTCTCTGAAACATGATTTATTAGAAAAATGTTATGCGTTTGTTTGATACGTTTTTTCTTAGCAAAACTAAATGCATTAGTTTGTAGATGGTGTTTTGTATTTGCAAACCACATTGTGTTTTTTAGTGAATCAAGAGGCATTTGTAAAACCTGTTTAGTTTGTTTGTGGAGTTATGGCAGGAAATTAGCTCCATACAAAAAGTCGCAATGCAGCGAGCACCGCGAGAGAAGCTACGCTTTGCTCCCACAATGCACGCCGCCGTGTGTAGGGGCCCGCAACCATAGACTGTATGCCCGCAACTCTCCTATCAGCAGGCGTCGGTAGTGTGTATTCGTCATTCAAAAGAGGCAACCGGAAGACAGAAAGACTGCGTGATATATACAAACAACCAATAGCTACATGCTACAGCTCGAGCCAAGCTGCACATGAACTATGCCAATATTTTAACAGTATCGGTGCAGTGCCTTTTCAGCGGGGCAAGATATAGCAAATATGTGTGCCTGCCTATCCTGCCATTTGTGTTTATTCTTTTAATCACACAGCGTTAAGAAAAAAGAAAAAATGCACCTACATAACTTTCAGTTGCAGCCCTAGCATTATTATTGGTTTAACTACTAACAGTATATATTTTTAAACATTTTAAAATGACCATCTTGAACAGCTACAACATTAAAATGGTTCTAGGCAGATTTTGGACAGTAACAAAGTACATTTACTTAAGTACTGCTCGTTTCGCTAAGCTGAACGGCCAATCAGTGATTTCTTTTGCCGACAGCCTCCGCTAAAGATTCAACAAGGTGAATCGGCAACGGGTGTCGGCACGGCCGAAAAGACACACCAATCTGAGTAGGGCGACAGGACGCTCATCGACGGCCGAAATCGGCTTGGTGTGTCAGGGCCTTTAATGAAGACCCGGACACACCAATCTGACAACAAAGCATGACAAATGTCACAAGTCATATAAGGACTGGTGTTACTGTCGACCTTTAACGCTACTCTTAAATAAATCTTACCAGAGAAAGGTAGGCGTAGGATGCATTGAGCTTCAGGTTGATGAGTTTGTTGACGTCTCCTTCAGTCTCCGCATGGAGGTTTTGTTTGACCACAGACTGCATTTCTAAAAGACAAAAACATATTGCAATAAATGTGACTGGTATATAGGTAAACCAACTCCAGTTTGGATAAAACCACTACTAAACTTCAGACACATAACCGTGTCTGTCGTTTTGCAGCACAGAGGACAAAGGGATATCTTACCTCTCATCTCTCTTCCAGCTAAGTTGTCTACCAAATGCTTGTGTTGTTCACTCTCCCAGTGAGCTAATATAGGATGTTTGCGTATGTGCTCGTCAGCTTTTATGCACCCGGTGTTTAACGGCTTCAGTAAAACATCAGCCACATTGTGGTCATGTGTTTATGAAGTGAATTGAGTTCAGGTGGGATGTGCCTATGGTCAACAAGGTTACGCGAACACTAGAACATTGTGTTCGCTGAGAAATGAAGATATCTACAGTTAGATTAAGCAAAGACATGAGCCCTACCTCAAAAGCCCAGAACTCAATAAACAGTAAATAGTGACTGACGCTATCTTCACATTTATCACTGAAAGTTAGCCGAAGCTACAAGCTGTTAGCACTTAATTAGCATTACAATTAGTTGATGTAAACGACAAGTACGACAGTTGGCACAGTCTGTTAGTTACATTACAATGTCACATTTTGCTGTTGGTCACTCACCTGTCAGTAAAAGTAACGCTACTCCACTTCCCCAGTAGTCTGGCTGGCTTTATCTTGTTTACAAAAAGAAGAAACAGAGAACCTCCTCTGGCTAAGGTTAGCTAGTTAGGTCTTTTATGTCGGCATCCTGTGTCCATCCATCCTCTACTGCCCTCTCCTGTGTTTGGGACGAATGACATCATAGAGTGTTTGTTTACCCAAACCTAAACACAATGCATACACGACCAAATGTTACAGCTACTAGTTTTAATGTTTTTAATAAAAGGGACCATATACTGCTGTTTACATTTATTTCAAAGGTACAAGAACAAACACAAATGATTGCACAGTAATCATGCTGCAATCAATCCGGGAGGGTGTGCCACTCACAAGGGAACTGAAACAGCTGTGATAAGGTTCTCAACACCACTCCAAGAGAAAAGCACTGATTTAAAGAGAAACAGATTAAGTGTAGAGGATAAGAGGAATATACATGTACAGGAATGTATAAAAATGATATCAAATATATATAAGATATCACATTTTTATTATTTTGAGACAGCCAGTCACCCTGTGTGAGGCAGACCCATTTGCGCAGCGTTGCGTTCACAATACATAATTTTTTATTATTTATAAAAGAAAACAACTAAATGCCTGGGTCGCGAAATATACTTGGACGGCCGTTAATATACCTGGAAGGCCCACCCAAGTAAAGTCTATGTGTGGGAAACCCTGTATCTAGTTGTGTACAGATACACATGGTGCACAGTATATCCTTTCAGCCTGATTCAGACTTTGATAGATTGAAATTAAATCATACTTCGAATTACAATTGAATTTGATGTCTAAATGGATTAAGACTCACAAAACAGGAGCTCCATTTTACATTTTAAATAGTTTATTAGTTTATTAACACTGCAGATTCTAAAATGTTACATTATCCTGCAGAAGGGGACAGATATGAAATACACTACAGTAGGTTTGCTTGATGAATTCAAATGCTTTTTATTACAAGTACTGGTTAAGCTCAATATCTAACACGGAAGTTCTATTTATTGTGTGAGATTATGTTATACCAAGAAATAATAAAAATATGATCATTTATAAAGGTAATTTCCTCCTTATGTTTCCCCAATGAAAAACATTTGACAACATTTGATCTGATAACCCAGCACTTTTATTGCACTCTGCACCATAAAATGTGAACATAAAAACTGTCATGACTTCAGGTTCTGTTGTGATAAAATGTAGCTGGTGATGTTTTTTTGCTCGTAGTTCCTTATAGATCTTAACCACAAGGAAGCTATAAATATGACATCCTTCCGAGACAGAAACTAAAAGAAAACGGACTGCTCTGTGAAACCAGCCCAACTGAAGAGACAAGACAGTTATTTAACTACTTATTACTTAGCAATAATTAAAATAATCCAAAACAAATATAATTTATCTTGAGCACCACTTTTGAAAGCTTGGCCTGTGTTCATAAAACATTTGTCAATTTTTATTTACACATCATAAAAACACACAGGCCATCACAGACATGAAGCTGGTAATGTAAAACACAGTAGATTTAAAGCAATTACCACTAATAAACATGCAATATAAAACAGGCAAATGTAGTTGATTGACTTACCTTTGACAAGTAGCACATTATGACCATTAATAAGGAAGTAGCAGGCGGGGCAAAGGTCTCTGTGGTTGTACAAGGCCAAAAAGGAGAAGCAGCTATTTACTTAGTCTCTCACCAGTATGAGAGGGGATCAGAGGTTAGAGAAGGAGGACATGGTTAAGAATTAAAAGTCAACACCACTGGAATAAAGTTAATATTGGACTGCGTCAGCCAAGCAGCGAATAAATTCTTCGGCAACCTCAAGTGTTGTTCTTGTCAACACACCCGTGGAAGTACTGGAAATAGAAACTTGAAGTTGGTCTTGGGACAACAAAGGAATTGTACAGGTTCATAGCATGTGTGTAGCTTAATGAACCGTGATTACAATGGAGACTTTATCTTTCAAAATCACCTCGGACCACTTTCTGCTGTGTCTCTTCCTGAGTCTGCTTTGGGTAAGTGCCTTTTTAAAAAAAAAAATGTTTCTGTTCTGACAGTGATCACATGCTTCACCTATTTCAACCCTCAACAAAGGAAATGTTATTTTGTCTTGGATGCAGTAATCGTTTTTTACTGACTTCCTTAGAGAAAAAAGATAAATGAGGAAATAACTACGTAAATCATAAAACAAGCTATACCTCAACAAATTGTATCTTATTTATTATATATTTCAGACAAAGAAATGTAACTTGATAATGTCTTGCATTATTGTCTGTATTTATAAGAATACTTATCATTTTGAATGTTATAATATTGTAGAGAATGTAGATCCGGATTTGCTTGTTGTTGTTTTTAGCAAGCAGTGAATGAATCATTTGCCATCTTTTTAAGTAGCATATATTTGTGATTGTAAAATGCTACAACCATTTTCTGGCCATCGTTTAAATTTAAAGATCTTAAATGGTTCGTCAAACTTCCTGAAGTTTCATGTAATGTACGTGATTAAGGAAAGATTGTTTTTTTTAGCCTTCTTGCACACTCATAGCCGTGGGAACATGTTTCAAATGGGGGGTGCTGTGTGGATCACATCCTCTAGGGGGGTCAGGGGGGAAGATTTCTTTTCAACATTATAAAGTAAAATGCTAGACTAGAGACTAGATCTAAGGGGTACAACTCTAAACACCCATATCGAAAAGATCGGTTTACATCTTAATAATCAAATAAGTATGTGGACATAACCAATAACCTAACATAGCCAATAACAAGTAAATGTAACTTATTTTATTTTTGTTGTTCATTTATTTCTTATTTTACCAGTTAAAACAATTGTCTACTGTTCAACTCTAGCGTCCTGTACACACGCTGCCCGCGGAACCTCCTTAACATCACAACCTACGAAACTCCCAGGACGTCGGGCTGGGACTTACCTAAGACCTGTCCGACTTAGAACGTGCAGGTCTAATGTTACCTGTATATTATGTTTCTTTTTTATTTCTGGCTAAAAGCGGGAACTTACCATTGTTTTGTAAAGTATTAATGATTCCCTATTGGGGAAAGTTGGGGCATGTCAAAGTAAACGGGACATTGCTTACTTTCACCCCCCTACACCTGAATAGTCCGCCGGGCTCGAGTGTGTGTCTCTCTCTCGCCTCTCTTGCCGCCCCTAACAACAATCGAAACGACGCGATCTGCTATTTTCTTCACTACCTCTTTCAGGCGAGGAGGTCTGTCTGAGCTCTTCCGAGTCACTCATTTTCCTGACTCACAAATCTATAAAGTGAAATCAGATCAATCAGAGTCTCCCAGAGTTTTGCCTCAACAATTGTTAAATTACATGTTGTTTATAAAGGTTCCGTAGGTGAAATATTAATAACCCTATTTATTATTTGTTTTTGTCCAAACTTTAGTAAGTTCACCGTATGATATCCTCGTCATTTGGTCTTATAACAAATTAGACCTTCTCTAATTTCCTTATATACGTATTTAT